CTTGTTAGTTGTATTCCTAGGTATTTTATTCTCTTTGTGGCAATTGTGAATGGAAGTTTGTTCTTGATTTGGCTCTCTTTAAGTCTGTTATTGGTGTATAGGAATGCATGTGATTTTTGCACATTGATTTTGTATCCTGAGACTTTGCTGAACTTGCTTATCAGTTTCAGGAGGTTTGGGGCTGAGACGATTGGGTCTTCTAGATATACAATCATGTTGTCTGCAAATAGAGACAATTTGACTTCCTCCTTTCCTATTTGAATGCCCTTTATTTCTTTTTCTTGCCTGATTGCTCTGGCTAGAACTTCTAATACTATATTGAATAGCAGTGGTGAGAGCAGGCATCCTTGTCTGGTGCCACATTTCAAGGGGAATGCTTCCAGTTTTTGCCCATTCAGTATGATATTGGCTGTTGGTTTGTCATAAATAGCTTTTATTATTTTGAGATATGTTCCATCGATACCTAGCTTATTGAAGGGTTTTTAGCATAAAGTGCTGTTGAATTTTGTCAAAGGCCTTCTCTGCATCAATTGAGATAATCATGTGGTTTTTGTCTTTGGTTCTGTTTATGTGGTGAATTACGTTTATAGACTTGCGTATGTTGAACCAGCCTTGCATCCCCGGGATGAAGCCTACTTGATCATGGTGGATAAGCTTTTTGATGTGCTGTTGCAATCGGCTTGTCAGTATTTTATTGAAGATTTTTGCATCTATGTTCATCATGGATATTGGCCTGAAGTTTTCTTTTCTTGTTGAGTCTCTGCCGGGTTTTGGAATCAGGATGATGTTGGTGTCATAAAATGAATTGGGAAGAATTCCCTCTTTTTGCATTGTTTGGAATAGTTTCAGAAGGAATGGTACCAGGAGGTAAACGAGTTCTAAAGACATTTACAGACAAAACAAGGACATAATTTTTCAAAATCAATCAATATAATTTTTGACTTAGAGATTTAACTGGAATATTCAGATTAATAAGATAAAAAACCATATGCTCACTATATGAATGAAAATATTAGGCATTATTTTAGGACGTATTAAGCCTCTTATACATATATTTACAATATCGAATTTATCTATAATATCCAGTGTTGAACTGAGTCTCTAAGATCAGCTCCTTCTCCGCTATTGTATAAATACATAAAACCTTTTATTAGGACAAGCTTTTTTTTTTAAGAGCCTAGAGACAAAAACTACAACTAAAAAAACACGGAAAAGATTGAAAGTTTCAAGCATTAACCACCTCTATCCCTTCCAGAGAAGAAAGTGACTGTCTTCAGGACATCACCTTGACAAAAGGCTGCTACAGCTCTTCAGTATTTGAGAGTTCTAGAGGTGACGGTAACCACTAGTCCCTCCACCTTTCAACTAGCGTGGATGAGATTTTTCGAAGAGAAGAAAATAATCCCATCAGAGGCCAGGAAGTCCTAGAGGAGGAATCAGCTTTTAAACTTTTCTAAGAAACTCATTATGAAGTGGCTGATATTTTTGCGGTAACAGCAAATTTTTATATATATTTCTTTTCTTTTTCTTTTTTTTTCCTGAGAGGGAGTCTCACTCTGTTGCCAGAGTACAGTGCAGTGGGGTGATCTTGGCTCACTGAAACCTCCATCTCCTGGGTTCAAGCGATTCTTCTGCCTCAGCCTCCCGAGTAGCTGGGACTACAGGCATGCACCACCACACCCACTAATTTTTGTATTTTCAGTAGAGACAAGGTTTCACCACATTGGCCAGGATGGTCTCGATCTCCTGACCTTGTGATCCACCTGCTGCAGCCTCTTGAAGTGCTGAGATTACAGGAATGAGGCACCACACCTGGCCTTAAAGTGAGGTAATTTAAACTAGAAAAGATTGGGAGCACAAGTCATAATCAATTGGTTAGTTTCATAAAAAAATTAAAAAACATTCAAATTATATAAATGTAAACTTTAGGAAATAAATAGATTTGGTGGAAAATGAACAAGAGAATAGATGAACACAATTTATAAAACACCATCTTTTAATGAAATAGAAAAATCCAATTCACTGATATCAACCAAATAGATGTTTACTTCACTTAACACTTGCTTTCATCTTTCATTCCATATACAATTCAAAGATCACTTTATTCATGAGACTTCATTTCAATGTTAAGACTTCAACTCACAAACAGTTAAATTTTAGAAACACTTTTTAAAAAGGAAGAGTATTTAGGTTCCCAATAGGCTATTATCCTTATCAGACACTAGATGGCACTGGATAGTAAACAAATTCAGTTCGATGTAAATGGCCGTAAGTAAATAGCTCCCACAGTTACCTGGAACTTGATACGTGGATGACTAAGTTTGTTTGCATAATTCTTAAACATGAATCTGCTGAAGTTCACTGTGCACTTGAAAAAGGCAAACAATTACTATAAACTACCAGCTCTGAATATGAAGAAGGCAATATTTCAGGTGAATGTTCGACGTATACATACTGAACGTAAAACTTAAGATTCTTTTGCTTCTCCATTTTTCCCAATTGTATCCCAAGTAACAAAACTGAAATATGTTCTTCCCAGTAGGTAGGTAATAAAAATCAAGTAACAAAGGGGCATGGGGAAGCTATGCTCTTAAAAGAGGTACTATATTAGGGTGGAGAGAGCATAGCTGCTCTTTATAGAAAGCACAGTAACTTTGGAATGAGAGCCTGGACTTTAGTTTTTGACTTGCGGTGTGAACTCAGACAGTCATTACCCACATGAGAACCTTGGTTACCTCATCACTAAAATAAAAATATTAAAAAATTTTGAACTGGCTCTTTTAGCTTTAACCTTCTATAAATCTAGGACTTCTATAGTCATCTAGTTGCTCCTGTTTATAAATAAAAATAAGAAAAAACTTCTTAACTAAGCTAACTTATCAAACCTGTAAATTACGGAGAGGTTATTTTAATAATAACCTATATATAAAACTATAAATACACTTCTGAATTAAATTGTTTAAGGTATAAAGTACACAAGGTTTTCAGCTTTCACAAACACTCACAGATAACAGTAGAAAAACTGTAAGGATAATATTATCAAGTATGTTGCATGTGACTAAGTATAGCTGTGAAAACGATAAAAGTTGAATTCAGCAAAAATTCAGTCATGAAAAAATGATTTTTTCCCAGAAAACTTCTCAAGAGCACTTTGTCTATGGCAGACATTGCTATAGCCAGGATGCAACATGCATTGTTTTCTTTGCTAACTCCAGATTTCTCATAAATTGCTTCTTCTGCCCAAAAGACATTCCTTTTCCCCCTTCTTATCTACTAAGAGGTCTTTAAATCCCCACTCAAATACTGTCTCATCATCCAGTCTGTTTTTATGCACTGCAGCGCCATCAAATTCATGATTACATACATCTCTTAGCACATAACAATCACATGCTGTAACTAGTGGTTGATTTCTCTATCTCCCCCACTGGTTGTACATTTTTTGATGTGAGAAATAATTTTATTTTTATTTTTGTATGCTCACCCATTTAGCACAGTTTTTTGGTATTTAGCAGATGTTCTAAATGGTTTGTTAAACAAACAGTATTTATGGTGTAACATTTAACTAATGGAGGGTAAATGGTAAATTAAGGGTTAGAAAACTTAAGAATTTTGCCAAGTCACACAATTACTAATTACACAATTATTAAGGGGTGAAAGAGAACTCACACAACCTAACTCCAGAACCAAAATCAATTCAATGCTAAACTACTTACTGGGAAGTTTTCCTTTTTTTCCCAAGTTCTGAAAAAGTGCAATGAGCACAGAAATCCCCCTTCTTAAAGGGCTTCCCCATAGCAAATGGACAATGTAGACACAGGATCCCAGGCTGTGGGTACATCAGTGTCTCCCTGGGTTACAGTCATCTCCACGGTGCCTGGTGATGGCTGGTGCTCAAAAAGTCAGGTGAATCAATGGGCTACTGGTTTGCAGAAAGGCAATATTTTAAGTGTCTTCAATTCGCTCCTTGCCTACCGGACTAATACGTTTTCTATTACCATTTGCATTTAATAGAGTAATTTATATTTTCCTTGAAAACCTCATTTTTATCTAGGTTTTCAGATTTGTTAGTAAAAGTAATCCCTCATAATTTCTCATTTTCATTATATCTATTGTTTTGCCTGCTTTTAAATTATTAAACATATATAATTATGTTTCTCTTTTTTTGTCAGTGTCGTAACTGGTTTGTCTGTGTATTAGTCTGTTCTCACACTGCTATAAAGAACTAACTTAGACTGGGTAATTTATGAAGAAATGAGGTTTAATTGACTAACAGTTCTACAGGCTTAACAGGAAGCATGACTGAGCGGCCTCAGAAAACTTACAATCATGGCAGGAGGAAAAGGGGAAGCAAGGAACTTCTTCACATGATGGCAGGAGAATGAGTACAAGGAGGGGAAGTGCCACACACTTTTTAAACCATCAGACCTCATGAGAACACATTCACTATCACAAGAAAAGCAAGGGGGACGTCTGCCCTCATGATCCAATCACCTCCCACCAGGTCACTCCCCTGATGTGTGGCGATTATAATTCAACATGAGATTTTGGTATGGAAACAGAATCAAACTATATCATTCTGCCCCCGGCCCCTCCCAAATGTCATGTTCTTCTCACATTTCAAGACCAATCAGGTCTTCCCCACAGTCCCTCAAAGTCTTAATTCACTACAGTATTAACTCGAAAGTCCAAGTCACAGCCAGGCACAGTGGCCCATGCTTGTAATCCCAGTACTTTGGGAGGCTGAGGCAGGTGGATCACTTGAGGTGAGGAGTTTGAGACAAGCCTGGCCAACATGGCCATACCTCATCTCTACTAAAAATGCAGAAAAAAAACTAGCTGGACATGGTGGTATGCACTTGTAGTCCCAGCTACTCAGGAAGTGGAGGCTGCAGTGAGCCAAGATCACACCACTGCATGCCAACCTGGATGACAGAGCAAGAATCTGTCTCAAAAAAAAAAAAAAGAAGTCCAAGTCTAAAGTCTCATCTGAGACAATACAAGGCCTTTCCATCTGTGAGCCTGTAAAATCAAAAACAAGTTAGTTACTTCCAAGATACAATGGGGTTACAGGCATTGGGTAAATGCCCCCATGACAAAAGAAAGAAACTGGCCAAAACAAAGGGGCTACAGGCCCTGAACAAGTCCAGAACCCAGCAGGGCAGTCATTAAATATTAAGGCTCCAAAATAATCTCCTTTGACTCCATGTTTCATATCCAGTTCATGCTGATGCAAGGGGTGTGCTCCCAAGTCCAGAGCCACAGCTTTGCCCCTGTGGCTCTGTAGGTTACAGCCTCTGTAGGTTACAGCCTCTGTGGGTGCTTTCACAGGCTGGCATTGAGTGCCTGCGGCTTATTTAGGCACATGGTGCAAGCTGTTGATGGATTTTAGGGTCTGGAGGACAGTGGGCCTCTTCTCACAGCTCCAGTAGACAGTACCCCAGTGGAGAGTCTATGTGGGGGGCCCCAAGGCAGAGGTTCTCCATGAGGGCTCTGCCCCTGCAGCAGACTTCTGTCTGGATATCCAGGTATTTCCATACAACCTCTGAAATCTAGGTCAAGGCTCCCAAACTCTTGCTTTCTGTGCACCACGGCTAGAGCTGAAGTGACTGGGACACAAGGTACCACGTATGGAGCAGCATGGCCTTTGTCCATGAAACCATTTTTCCTAGGCTTTGGACCTATGATGGGAGGGGCTGCTGTGAAGATCTCTGAAATATCCTGGAGACATTTTCCCTATTGTCTTGATGATTAACATCTAGCTCCTCTTATGCAAATTTCTGCAGCTGATGTCTTGAATTTCTCCACAGAAAATAGTTTTTTCTTTTTTACCATATGGTCAGGCTACAAATATTTGAAACTTTTAGGCTCTGGTTCCCTTTTAAACATAAGTTCCCATTTCAGATCCTCTCTTTGTGAACACATATGACTGTGCATGCTAGGAGCAGCCAGGCTTCCTCTCCATCTAAGGCCGCCTCAGCCTGGACTTCACTGTCCATACCACTATCAGCATTTTGGTCACAGCCATTCAACAAGTCTCTTGGAAGTTTCAAACTTTCTGTCATCTTCCTATCTTCTTCTGAGCCCTTCAATCTCCTTTGTTTTTAGCCACTATAGGAATCCCATGAAGAATTCTCAAATAGAAGTTAAATACATTAAAGTAGGGTCTAGCCCAGAAAAGAAAAGGAAACACAAGGTGGTAGATCCTAACCTAATACACTGAGTTTAATATGTGTATTATTCAGATAAATAATAATGGTATTGATAACCTCTTCCAAGTTGTTTTTGTGATCTCTCAATAAGCAAAATACTACTTCAGTTCTGTTCCTTTTCTTCATTTTGCTTCAGAAACTTCAATGCACCAGAATAAAAGACTGTTTGGTACTCCTCACAGTACAAACAGACACGGAGCTCAGCACACATGGAAGAGGGGCAGAGCCTCTTCCCAGGGGAAAGGAGGCTGGACACCCTAACCCATCCCTCAGCCCCCCAGGGAACCCAAACTGAGACTGACAAGTGCAGGCCCACAAGCCATCTGCCCAAGCCACGCCCCAGCATACTCACCTGCTCAAGCACCCCGGGTGAGACGCGGGCAGCCCAGCTCCAACAGTCACCATCTCCTGAAGAGAAAGTGTCCCCGCCCAGAGGACTGTCCTTGCCCCAGAACAGCAAGGCCCTCCCATTCTTGGTTCCCAAAGCCTTTCCCCACTTCTGCACCCAGTATCGTGGTGTTGTGCTCAGTTTCAACACAGGGACCACGTCTATCCTGCTTTCTGCTGCATCTCCCAGCCAGCATATGCCACGGTACGTCATAAGCCCTCAACAAATATTTGTTGAATGGAACAGACATGATCACAATATACACTCCTGGGAACTCTCAGCTTCCAGAAAAAAGGCGAGGCAGAAATGAGCATTTCTCAACCCTGGGAGCAAATTTATAAGGGTTTTATCCCTAACCATTCCTAACCAAGGGGTACCACAGCCTCGGTTAACTCCAGATCCCTCCAGAAGACCTCACTGCCCAATGCCAAGAGTTCAGCCAGAGCAGGTGCTGAACTGTGACCTAGGAAACACCAATCTCACACTAGGTCCACTTCTACAACCACCCTCAAGCAAGGTCACACCCTGTCACCCAACTGTCCCAAATCTGGAAAGAAAGAAATCACCATGATACTGTGTGGGCAGAAAGCTGCATGGAAAAGAAAAGTCATAGAGAAAAGATAGCAAGGCTCTGCAGAGATTATCACTGGGTTTCTTTTTTCTTTTTTTTTTGAGACAGGTTCTCACTCTGTCACCTAGGCTGGAGTACAGCAGCATGACCTCAGCTCACTGTAGCCTTGGCCTCTTGGGCTCAAGTGATCCTCCTGACTTGACCTCTCAAGTTGCTGGGACCACAGGTGCACACCACCATGCCTGGCTAGTTTTCCGTATTTGTTTTTGTTGCGATGAGGTCTCACTCTGTTGCCCAGGCTGGTCTTGTACTCCTGAGACCAAGCAATCTGCCTACCTCAGCTTCCCAGCATGCTGGGATTACAAGCATGAGCCACTATGCCCAGCCTCTGCCTGGATTTTTTTAAAACCAAAACTAAATGGCTAGCCCCATAACCTCATGTAGGAGTTAGCAGGTATGGCCTTCAAGCCAAACCTACCCCCAACCCCACTGTCTTGAAAATAAAGTTTTACTGGAACACAGTCACATTCATTCATTTACACACTGTCTACAGCAGCTTTTGTGCTAAAAACACCGGCAGTCCTGTTTCATCCTAGGTCATCTCAGCTTTAGCATGAAAGGCCCCACCTCCCAAACAAACTCCTCGGTCCCAGGCAAACCGTGAGGGCTAGTAACTCTATTCTGGACTATGAAGGCAGAGCCGAGTAATTGTGACGGAGACCTTATGGCTCGCAAAGCTGCAAAGAAAATACTTACTATTAATACCCTGCCCTTTAGAGAAAAAACTTACCAGACTCTGCCCTAAATCCATTCCAACCTATCATAGGGACCCACTGTTTAGTTACAAAAATGCAAAGAAAACCTAGCCTACTAAATAATGAAACAAGAGAAAGTACATTTTCTATTATTAAAAGTCTTTGGGCTGGGTGCAGTGGCTCATGCCTATAATCCCAGCACTTTGGGAGGCCGAGGCAGGCAGATCACCTGAGGTTAGGCGTTCGAGACCAGCCTGGCCAACATGCTGAAGCTCAATCTCTACTTAAACACACACACACACACACACACACACACACACACACACACACACACACAC